GGTGTCGAAAATCTAACCAATGGAGATCGTTTCGATGGAAAATGGCAAAACGGTGAAAAACATGGGCAAGGTGTTCAAACATTTGCTAACGGTGCTAAATTCGAAGGACAATGGAAGAACAGCGAACGACAAGCAGAAGGCCGTTTAACTTTAGTCAACGGTACCTACTATCAAGGACATATTGGCAATGATCATATTAAACAAGCAAGAAGTAATCAAACTCTAGGCATGCAATGCAACCGAACTCGATACACCTATACATATACTTATCAATGAACATTTTTTATAAGACTTGATTCGCGTCTTTTGTAATTCGAATGATACTCTTCGATTAGTGCCGCTTTTAGTTGACTGTTTAGAAATAAATATCGATATCGTTTTCATTGAGCTACATTCCTTACAAATATTAATGGGTAAATATTTTATGGCAGAATATCTTCTATGACTTGATTAGTTCAGTAAATTTAGTAATTATCACAATACTTGATTGTTAAACTAATAAATTCCCCATTATGTCATTCGATACTAAAGCCAATACGTATTCTACACTATAAAAAGGCATAATGATTTGTGCATACACAAATATCGTCTTTAATGGCACTGCATTTGATGGAGAAATGTACTTTTATGCGTTTTACTTAACAGTGTTAACGTCCTAGCGTCATACATGTATAGCTTCAAACTTGAATTCAGCTATTCAATATCAACATAAGGGTGCGAGGTGCGTACGAAATAGTTGAATATTTGAATTCAAATTTCAAGTTTGACACTGCTGCTGTGATCAAAGTGCAATGTTATCCAACACGTGACAGTTGTTGGTGGATTTACAAGCACTTGTTACACATTTGTTAAACCAGAAATAGTATCATCTAGACTATAATTATTTGATCATCTTCACTACCGCTCGCTATCGCACTTGGATGAACTCTTCGCCTGTTTCTGATTAATCTAGAAAGAAATTATAGACCTTGTCAACTGTTGAATTTCGATACTCTAATTGGCATTACCTTTGAGGAATAGCACATTCTCCCGACTTCATTACTCGTAGTATTGATTGTGCTTATTAAGTCTGAACGGGTATTATGATTTTTTACTCAGTTATCTTCAATCAGATCCAAATAGTAGCTCACCTCTTCTGTTTCCTGTTTTTATGATGCGTAAAGTATGCGCACGACTGATTCATATTAATTATCTGGGTACTAATATGTGTGTGTGTGCTTGTCTTCCCAAAAAACATGTTATTCTTAATCAGTATGATACTCTCATACAACATCAACACTTTTGCGAGTTTATTTGACTTAGTTTGAGATATCAATGTCTAAACTGCCATGAAAATGTTGAAAAGATCTTCTGCGTCTTTCAGATTTCTCCGTAACGTCAACATGTGTGCAACGCAAGCCTTGGAGACATGGTATTTTTAGATCTCGAATCTAATGATACAGTCAAATCATTGCGAAAGATGCCCATAGCAGTACTTTAAAGAAAAGCTTCTTTTCTCCACAGGAAGTGCATGCGTTACGCTCGTGTCATGTGTCTGAGTGAGAGTGTAAGAGAGTGAATTTTTTCTGCAAAACTTAGGAGAGATTTTCTTTTTAAACAGCTTTGAGATCGCTCAGCATATCTTGCTTTGTTTCTTTCTCATAGTTTTCACTTACAAGGTACTGAACAAGCACCGATATGAACTACAGTCTGCCTACGACGACTATTGATCCAGCTGTCGAAAGATTAAACACTGCTCGTATTGGAATACAACGTTTTGGTCAGCCGATTCTTTTTACACTGGGCATGATAGGTTGTATTCTGAACATTGCTATCTTTCTCCGTTCTTCAATGCGCACAAATTCATGTGCTATTTATTTTCATGCAAGTTCATGGGCAAATCTGTCTTGTTTAACATGGGGTTTATTCGTTAGTATGATGGGTTATTTTCTCAACTATAATCCATTGACATATATTTCTGTATACTGTAAAGTTCGTTATTACATACTGACTGCATCTCAATTGGCAAGTCGTGCTTGTGTGGTTCTCGCATGTCTTGATCGGTTCTTACTTTGTTCACAATCAGTTGGACAACGATCATTTTGTCGACCGAACGTGGCATTCAAAGTTATGCTAGTAACTGTTGCAAGCTGTGCTGTTCTATCGATTTATGTCCTTGTCGTTTATGATTCATTTCCGCAAGCGCGGCAATGCACGACTTCAACAGCGGCGGGAAAAGTTATCGATACGACAGTTTTATTTTGCTTCAATTTTGGAACACCTGCTCTCCTCATGAGCACATTCAGTGGACTGATCATCTGGCGATTGAAGAGAAATTCAACACGAGTAGGTCGCCGAAAAGTAGGTGTTTCATGTATATACCGAGACATTGCTTTCTTTGATGTATGAATTAGGTCCATGTACGTCACCGAGACCTTCAACTTGCCACTATGCTCATCGGACAAGTGATTCTGTACATTGTGACAGCACTTCCATTTGTAAGCACATTCGTTTACCTGACAATAACGCAGTACGATCCACAATCTAGCAAATCGGCATATCGAATTGCAGCAGAAAATTTAACTCTAACAGCAACGGGTAGTTTCGGTACATTTATATTCAATGCAGTAAGGAGTTGTGCTTTTGAAGGAATTTCTATTTCATTATGTACCATTTTAGTTAACATTTTATGTTTATACACTGACAGCGCCAAGTTTTCGTCGTGAATTATTCAAACTAATCGTTCCGGTATGCTGGATGAGTCAATTTGTGACAAGAGAACAATCTCAAATGACTAGAACGAACCGAATTCATCCATCAATTCGAGATGCTTTGTCGATGAAATTTCCCGAACAAACCTAAACGAACTTCTGTCAAAAGTATATCTATGTAATGTCTCGTTTTTCATCTATAATAAAATAATCGAGCATAATTGTTTCTACAATCTAAAGCTTGTCAAAGGTATGATTAATACAAATTGCTCTTAACCACTCGCAATTATAGGACAACTTTTTCTATCAGTGCACTTCTTTCCACACATCAAATGAGTGTTTCGAACTCGAGTTTCGATCAAGAAAAATATTTTCTTCCTTCAACAATTCAGCTCATCGTATCGGTAACTGACAGAATAAGTTACAGTGTTTATGCAATTGCTCTTATATTCAGCGTCGTGCAAACATTTAGGAGAAATCAAACTCTCGATCGTTTTCTGAGCTATGTGGTTCACGAATATTCCGACGGTAAATTCGATTCGAATCAAGTTTATATTCGCAAACAAGTGATCACTTGCTATCGATACGATCAACACTTTTCGTACATTCCGCATCCGAATCGATTGATGCTATTCACAGTTGCTGTTCACGTACAGGTGCTTATGCTGATCGCAATCCGAACGCTATTTCTTCGGCAGAGCATCGCTATCAGCGATTGTGTGTCATTCGATTTTCCACTTGATGTACTTCAATGTGATAATAATCAATCTCCATGTTCATCGAATGGAACAGAAAGTGTCGTCAAATGTACGTACTATTCATTCCAAACAACGAATATCATCACGGCAGTTACATCAGTAAGCACTTGGCATTACGCACTTCGTTATTGTGTAGTTAAATTGATCCGTTTTGCGCGCTGGAGCACATTTCGTAACGATGATCAACCAAGAAACTTCTGTTGTTGGCGAACCACACCTTGTCGTTTACGTTGTATCATGTACGTTGATTATACCATGCTATGGATCTATTTACTGGTCACGTGTATACTTGGTCTGGGGTGGAATAAAAGTCTTTATCAGTTACCAGTTGATACATTTGGATCGGTTTGGACACCAATAATTATAGCTGCAGATCGGATATATACACTCAGTATGGCGTTGATTCCTGAATTGTTACAAAACTGGTTGGATGTCACAAGAAATGGCGAAGTGTTGCAAGTTTTGAAGTCGAACGATTTACTTCTGACGAATCTTGAGCCTCTCATTCAATTGACTCGGAAGGAAAAACGGCCTCCGTCGGTAACTACAGATAAACTAGTACACGATAGTGCTACTGAACAACAATCTTACATGTAGTTATTTTTGTAAATGACTCAACACCAGTTGACATCAATAAAGTTGTTTCCCTAGAGATCGTTTGTGCAAAGCGCGAGAAGGAAAACTTCAGTCGCTTTAAATCAGATATACTCAATGTGAATGTATTACTCAATAAAGAACCGATCAAAAAAAAAAAGAATGAGTACACCTGTTTATAGAAAATTAGCCGACAGATATCTCCATTCTTCGGCTATTTCAAGCAATAGCAGAAGATTTTATTTTTAAAATAAGCATAATTATAGCAGTGAGTACACAGATGCTTGTCCGACTGTTACCTGAAAGCACGCATCAATCTTTGATGAATTATTACAAAGAAAAGAAAATCATTACTTAGAAGTCCTCCACTGGCCGATGGTCGGTTTGTTGTCGTTCCCGTTGTTACTGATACTGTAGTTGTAACTGTTGTGGATGATGTCATAATCGCTGTTGATATTCCCACGTCTGCAAAGCAAAAATGTTCAGCAAATAGTTTCGTTTCTATTCATGTTAACGTAAAATACATACTGATCACAGTAACGCAATTTCCATCGTCACTATCATTTGAAATAGTACAGTTAGCCTAAACGACACTATTCAAGTGACTGTCAGATTGCTAGTCTGGACATACGTAGTACGAACAAGTGAAATTACCACGATCATCTCCAGCATTGGCCACATACCAGCATTTTAATCGCCCATCGTCTTGCAAAACACCCATATCAACACGCACATAATTCCTGGCATCTTTCTCTGGACATTCACATCCCGATACTTAAAAAGGATACATACACTGTTCTATACGCAAACGTCTAGTAATGAACGAATACCCTCGTTTATATTGATAACAGATATCAGGAGAATTGCAATGGTGAAATATGAATAACTAGAAAACATTTGAAAATGAAGTTTCGTGGAAATGTGAAAGTATAGAATGTGCACAGAGAGTGTTGTTGTGAGTCATCTATCTTTCAATTATTGATATGGATGTATATAGAGCGAGAAATTTTTTTTTCAATTAATTAATTCTAATGAAAAAATCAACGAGAACAGTATATACAGAAGAGTTGACAAAATTTTCGACAAAATGCAGAGTTACTTATGCTTATGTACTTGCATCATAATTGAAAATGACGTCCAACATCAACATTTACAAAATAAGAGAGAACGAAAGAACTGACATTCTCATATCTTCACTTTTTTTTTCTTTCTCTACAGGGAAGTTTCGCAATTACCATTTAGTTTGAAATTACAACGCTTATATAACGTTATATATATAGTTTTTTTCTTCTTTTTGATCACAGCTCAATATGGATACACTGTATGATGATTTGATGAATCTATGTTCTCAAGATGAAATCTTCTATTTCAAAGACATTCGTTTACACGGTATAAACTACCGTATATTCAATCATCGTCTTTGCTCTTATGGACGGTTCCAGACGCATCCAGCAGCTCGAAATTGTTGTGGAGTTATGTTCAACATTACAAATACAAAATGTGCACAGCTCGTTTCATTACCCTTAGAAAAAATTTTTGATTACGAAGAAGGTTTTGGTCAGAAGCAATTTCATGAACGTGGTCGACTCGGTGTTAAAATGGATAAAATGGATGGGTCACTGATGACAACGTTCTTACATGGTAGAGAATCGAAAGAGCAAATACTTCGGCTGAAATCTAAACAATCCTTAACATCGAATCAAGTTCAAGAAGCTATGCGTTTACTTGAAGGTAAGTTGGAACAAGAAGACTATTTTTGAAATTGTGTATCCGAATGATCTATTAATATTTTCTATTCAGGTGAATTCAAAACTGAACTAGAACGTTTAGTTTGTCTTAATTATACAGTCAATATGGAATACACAACGCCATCTAATCATGTGTTTGTTGCTTATGCAGAACCTCAGCTGACTATTCTATCTATTCGATGCCATGAAAACGGTGAAACTCTATTTGGTAATCGATTAAGAGATTTTCTACTCGAACGTCATTTTTTGACAATTGCGAATCGTCTCGTTCCTTTTCAAACCATTCCATCCAATGTTACACAAAAACAATTGCTTGAAGATACTTACCAAGAAACGTTGTGCGAAGGTTATGTTGTGGAGATTATACATCCTGGACGATCTTCGTACCTCGTCAAGATCAAAACACAAAAGTATTTTATGATTTATGGAGATCGTGGAATCGAAAATTCTCCCAGGGCATTATTTGAAGCGCTCATTTACGGAAATAAAGAACATTTAATAGATCTCTTCAAAGACGACATCCCAACATTGGAAAGAATCGCAGACATGGAGCAACATATACGACCAAAATATGATCAAATGATTCAGTTAGTTAAAGAGTTTTACTTATTGAACAAAAATTCATCGAAAAAAGATTTCATACGCTCAGTCACCAATAATGAACATATGAAAATTTATTTACCACTGTTGGTGAGGTTATATAGTGGCGATGATAATGATTATAAGGGATTCGCGATGAAACATGCAAAAGCTCTCTTCGGAGTTGATGGTAAAATGTATCAAGACATGATAACGGTGCATCAAGATAAAAATGGCGAGTATAAGTAAGAATAGTATTTTACGTGAACATATCTTCATAATCAGATTAATTGATCGTTATAGGTCAGAGTGACAAAAAAAAGTACACTGGCGAAAACGTTTAAAAATAAAACCTATTCTTACTGTTTTATTCTAAAGAGCGAGTACAACGTGAAGGAAAAGGCAAAGTACAAGTCAAATTGACCTAAAAGTATTATATGTTCATATGACTGATGAATAAGTAGTGTCAGAATTAATGTTATGGATGATTAGATATAAATATGAGATAAAATGTATCTACACAAGGTAATTCCAGAAACCCATAGATGAATATTTGATTGTATTTTACCTAAATATACAGATAGTGAAATTTAATAGCTTTATAGAATCGGATTATAAAGTGAGCATTTGAAGACAATTAATGAATCATTTACCTAGAGTTACACTACTAGAAGTAGCATTAAATGCCGTTGCGTTGGATCTCAATGTTGATGATGTTGTAGATGTGGTAGTCGACTTGACCGTAGTCGTTGATGTCGTTGTCGTATTCGATTTGACCGTAGTCGATGTGCTTTGTATTGTGGTAGTTGTTGTTGTTGTTCCCGTTGCTACTCCCGTCGTCGTTGTTGTTTCCGTTGCTATTGCCGTCGTTGTTGTAACAGCATTCGCGATGGTAGTTGTTGTTCCCGCTGCTACTCCCGTCGTCGTTGTTGTTTCCGTTGCTATTGCCGTTGTTGTTGTAATAGCATTCGCGATGGTAGTTGTTGTTGTTTCCGTTGCTATTGCCGTTGTTGTTGTAATAGCATTCGCGATGGTAGTTGTTGTTGTTTCCGTTGCTATTGCCGTCGTTGTTGTAATAGCATTCGCAATGGTAGTTGTTGTAGTTTCCGTTGCTATTGCCGTTGTTGTTGTTGTATCTGTTACTATAGTTGTAGTGCCTGCTATGATAATTGTGGTTGTTTCTTGTGCTTAAATTTAAAAAATCATAGTGAGATTTCCTTTTGAATGCATATAAAATAGTTATGAGTGTTCGTGAACAAACCTGCATTGTTGCCAATGCTTATAAAAACCATGAAAAGACTTATACTGATAAAGTACATATCACTAAAAAAACGACGCTTGTACTCACACAGGATAAACATAATGAAAAATGCACAGCTACAAAACAACATCGTCTTGATTCATTATCGATTCGATCATGTGAATGACGTCAAACAAGTATGTCTAATAGGTGAATAACTACGACAAAAAAAACAAAATCTATGTGAAAAATCGTTTGCAAAGATTGAGACGTATCGATGTTTATTTCACTTTCGTCACATGTTCGGTATATAACGAAGGATGGGATGTACAATCAAGACGCACTGGAAGAAAAAAGGACGATTTTATATATTAGAGCGTAGATGACTACAAGTACAACAAGGAAAAGTCCTTCATTTGCACTTAAAATAAACTTTTCAAAATAAGATCTTTCTTCGTATGTGCGCACATTCTTGCTGTGATTGTATCCGAAACTTCGTATTTGAATCATCGAACATATAATAAAGTTCATCACTGAATTATAATACCGTCTCATGATAGTATACTGACAACAATAATCTTTGAAAAATATTTTGCTTTTGCATGCTGATGAATTCTTTCCAAATTTTCGATGCTCACTCTCACTTCAACGAAGAAAAACAACAGGAGCGGTGAAAGAACAGTCATCTATATGTACATAGTTAAATGTGTCATAAAGCTGATGCACTTACTGTACATAACGAGAGAAAGAGACGAAAACATTTAAATCATCATATTTCATATCACAATCAGCCTAACACATATGTATTAGATTCTTCTGATGAAAATGATCATAAAATCTCAAATATGCAAACATCCGATTGGATTTTGAGAAAACTTGAGTGAAACCAAAAGATGTTTTGCATACAAAGGAAATACATTATTTCGTACTATAAGCACAGATACAATGTACGAACATTTGAAATACCAATTCATAAACAAAAATATTTTTTTTCCTTCGAATCGCAGGTGTGTGAGCAAAGTACGTCAAATATTGTTTTCACCTGAAAAAGCACGAGTGCGAATACTTTTCTCCTTACAGATAATCTTCAGAATAAGTTTGCTATGTGCTCTTTCATCGTTGTCAGAACATAATGGTTTGACGAAAGAGTTGTGGGTACTACTGTTCAACCAGAAAAGTTTAATAAATGAACAGAGATACAAGATATATCGGCTAATGATTATTTATTCTTATATTTTGTCATTGCAGTCAATATCTATCAGTCAGAGATAAATAACAGAAATGAGTAATAGGACGAGAACAGTAATTGCGTAGGATTAAGCACACAGCGTACCTAGTTTACAATGTTTCTTTTTTCTTAATCTACCTTTGATAATTTCAAACTAATTTTCTTACATATGTTTCAACGACATGATTACATCACAGTCGAAGTAAAATATAAAGAATCAATGTTGACAAAATATCGATAAACAGCATGAAACGATTTTCAATCGGGCTTAATTTAGCGAGTCTAGAAATACTATCGTTTTCCAAATGTTTTTAACGACTATTATGTAATTTAGCATCAGTACTGACGAAGTTCGTCTGGGAGCTATATTTAGAAACAAGGATCGATTTATCTTTTTTTTCAGAATATCAAAGATCTTGTGTGTAAGGATTAACTTTTGGATAAACAGTTCGCTTCTTCTCTAAAGAATGTTCATTCAGACCATCAAATGCATTACCTCGTTGACATTATTCTCCCTGATACAAGTGTCATGAACAATAATCTGACATAAGAAAAACAACTTTTGTGATTTTGGGTTACTACGTTCTTTAAATAAACTAATTAATATGTGTAACTGTACTACAGTTTGTGGAATAATAACATCGAATTCATTTTATAATAGTAAAACGTATATCATACGCCGGTAATGGCAAAGTCAATATTATCAATTGATAAATGATACACTGAAGCAGATGAGAAAGTTATATATGCACTAAAAGTAATTCTTCGGCAATGGTAGTTTTAGTAATAGACATAATACACAAGTCAGGAATAATCAGTTTTCTCTCAAAACGTTGTTTTGTTTGGTTGCGATATCACGTTTTTTCGTTGCAAATATTGATTAAAAAAACAGCATGTTCTCGCTACCTATACGAGAAGAATAATTTTGGAAAGAAAAGAACATCGTTGGAAATTGATGAACTTATTTCGTTTATTCTTCCGGCTTAGATTTCCTTCTTTCGAAAAAGGAGTCGATGTATGTGCAGATAGAATAAACACTTCCGTATTCATTACATTCATCCTTCGTGAATACTTTACTGCATGTTCGTCTTTAATAAGAACTGCTATTATCATAATGAACACAATATAGATCGAAGTATTCACGAGAATAATCTTGACCAGTTGATTACCTTTTTTTGAACGAAAACAGAATACACATTGTATGTAACCGTACGTATCAATGAACAAATTGTCTTCCGAATCAGTTTCAAATAATATTGACCTATCATCTTCTCAATGATTTTTATCAAGATAGAACTTGCAAGTGCATAGATAATCGATAGTAATGGCATCCTGAATTGCAAACAATTCGACAATATTGAGTTAGTAACATTTGTGCCGATGGAAAATCATGCTTTAGATACTTCATTTGCATGACTTTTCTCATTCATTGAGAACAAGTGCTCATATTTAAACCTCTTCATAAGTATTTGAAGTAAAAAAATCATGAATCCCCGTTGATTCGAAGATTGTTGTACTTACAAAAGAAAAACAAAATACGTCATCGAAGTCAGTCGTGAATTAAGAGAGTATTTATTCGCATCAATCATTCTTAATTCTTGCATACCAGCCGGGGTAAAAAATGAGCCCAGTGAAAGTGAATGTATTTTTTAAAGTAACAAAATTTGAAATGTAGCTATAAGTTTTCCTAGAAGTCAAAAAGGTTATTGTTTTGACGTGTTCTCTATGAAATCACATCTAAAAATATCATAATTTAGATTAGACGAACAATTGTAATCATGTAGTAAAAAGGCTGACATTCTATGAGTTAATCATCCCCATAATATTGTGTTTAATTCATAAGATTTACAAAGGGATACTTCTCAGCATGATAGTACCAAATAAACTAATTTCTTACAGTTCAACACCATTGAGTATTTTAAGAATTTTCTCTCCCGATTTTCCTTGTCATAATCAGAAAAAGTTCCAAAACCGTAATGTTTGCTTTTCATTAAGAGTAAAAAACAGTCAATAAAATAATAGTATAAACGAAGTTTTCGTTGATGAGCTTTACTTCAATGTTGAGGAAACATATTCGACAACAATGGTGGGCATCTCATCAAATGATCCTCAGATTTGAAAATATTAGCATGATTTTCTCCGAGACAGAATGACCAATCAGAGAAGCATATATAGTTTAAAACTCAAGTTCATGTTGAAAACTTTCTCGGCTTTAGTACAGACGTTTTCTACATCGATAGCTTTAGCACATTATATGATAAATTCCATTTACACGATATAAAACTCGTGGTTTGTAGAGCACCTCAAAATATTTAGTTCTTTTGTCAATAATAACACAATAGATATTGAAAAAAAATCTTTATTCATATTATTGTAGAAAAATTAAACAGATAATTCGAATAAAGAAGATAGAGTCAAATTGAGTTTTATATAATCCATCCTAACGATCAACTACATAGATGTTTATAGCAAAACATTGATGATTAGTGTATTAACCATAGCGATAAAGAGCGAAATTTTTGGCAGATTGTTTCCTAATAAAGAAATAGTATCGCTAAGCTACATCTGGAAGGTAAATTTTACCTGAGTTTATACCCGTAGAATTAGTCGTGTTATCAAAAATAGTTGTAGTTGGGAATGCGTTAGAGAACGTTGTAGTTGTCATCGATAACGTTGATGTCGATGTTGTAGACATCATTGGCGTTGATGTCGATGTTGCAGACATTACTGGTGTTGATGTTGATGCCGATCCTGTAGACAGCATCGAGGTTGATGTTGATGTTGTCATCTGTGCCGTTGTAGATGACGTCATAGCACCCATCATAGTCGTAGATGTTGTTTGTCCGTTAGTTGTCGATGTCGTATTCGCTAAGAGAGACAGTTTGTAAGCGGCGCATTGTGGAGAGTGAAATCTTTGGAAAACTTACTTTGGCTGCCGCTGCATTGTCCTCCGTGTTCGTCTTGTATAAGAGCGCATGTATTCTGAGAAAATCAAATCAAATACTGGCGTCTGCAATAATTCTTTTGCGCTGCACTACCTACCAGATCATACCAACAACCGTTGTCGGTCATAGAGTAACCGCATACTAAAGCGCCACTTTGGATCTGACCGATAATAAGTGCAGTACCCGTGGTATCCGTAGCAGGGCATTGACATTTGGATGCTTTAGAAAAGTAACGCATAAATTAATGAACTATATGCTAATAGTGAAGAAATACAATATAAAAATGGCTGAATTTAGTTAGAGAAATTATGCTCAATCGTTGACATATCATTCATGTATAGGACTACAATTTTGAAATACATCATATTTGCTCCCAGAAAATGATCTTTATACATTTAGATATTGGAAAGATACTTACAAGCTGTGGTGGTTGTTGTCGTATTTCCTCCACTGCCTGATCGTGTCGTTGTAACTGTTGTTGTTGTCGTCGTCGTATTTCCTCCACTGCCTGGTTCTGTCAGTGCAGCTGTTGTTGTCGCTACAAACATTAGAATCGTTTTACAAAGATCTTTATTGCAAAAGTTCTATTGTGTATGCCACATCTTTCAGATAATCATACATACGTGTCGAAGATACACAAAATCCTCCATCACCATCGATGGCGATTGTGCAATCGGTCTAAAAAAAAAGGTGTAATTATTGAATATGATATTTACAATCTTCACTTACTCGGTATAAACAATACAAAGTGCCACGAGCATTTCCACTTTGAGCTACATACCAACATTTCAATTGTCCATTACTTTGCACGTCACCTCCATCGGCAGATACATAATTTCTATTATCTTTTGCAGGACATTCACAGCCAAAGACTTTAAAAAACAAATGTATATACTATATACGAATATTCAAAAATTAACCTTGATTCCTGTTTGGATTAATACAGAAAATCAACGCAAAAAAGATGAGTGCGATAAAATGCATCGTTCGAAAAAAGAAATGTGAATGAGTGTATATGTTTATTTGACGACAAAATATATTGGGCGGCTCTTTCACAAAAATAAAAACTTTTTCCCTATCCAAACGATTATATTTGTTCCAAATGACGTCACCTTAGTATTGTTCGTCTTCTACACACGCACTGCTTTAATGGTTGAATGATTATACTAAGAAAAAAATAACCGAAAGGACAGCCATATTTGTGTAGATCTGTATATTTAAAATGAGATTCTCTTCTCTTGACTCATCGATTATATTCAAAAGTATGAAAGTAATCAATGACAATAGGTATTATATTTATAAATTGTATACATCATCGTTTGCATGGTTCGTCATTGTATTTGCACTAAATCACTTCTCTAAATATGATAATATTATTCATTAAAAACTAAGATGAATAAAAATATCAATTGTATGTCTACAGTTTCTCTTTTAAATACTGTTTTACGGAATAAATTTCTCCCACCCTGACCTTGATATTGTGTTGTTTATTATACGAAATCAAAAGATTTTATTTTCATATTGATGATGTAAATATGTGAAGTGTACTAGAGTAGATTCTTATATGAGCTGCAGTGTTGCAGCCAACATCAGGTGATCTGATGGATGTGTCCTATCAGGATATGATTTTCCAGTTGGATGGCTTGGTAATGGTAGTACATCGAGGACAGTTAGGTTCCCAGCAAAAAAGATATAATCAAGTGTACCACAAAAGCTATTCGATGATTGTCCTGTCCTGGCAAAATTTGTGTAGTTTGGTTCAGCTTTATTTTTCTCTCGGTATGCACTTCGTAACACCTGTTGTTTATTGAATCGATAGGTAACTCCCCGGTTACCGACTTTTGGTAACACACGATCTTCGACGTTGCCTCGACGGGTGATTGCTCGGTACGCACTGTCAATTGGTTGCATATTGAAATCACCAGCGAGAACAAAAGGATGCCCATTGGCTATTTGAAACATAAGATCTTTTGCTGCAGAGGCATGAATTATCATTATACTTGGGTCTCTGAATAGACAAGGCATATGATATGTGCCAACAAACAAAGGCCGTCCATGGACCATCACTCCAACACAAATCAAAACATTTTTTAATGACATGGCTTTTTCCCACGAATTAATAGACTGATCTTTGAAAGTTTTCGTAATTGAATATTTCACAATTTTCCACCATGATAGAGAATTGAAAGTTGCATCAAACGATTGAATAGTTAAACGCAGGTGTTCTCCAATGGTGACCGCATTTTTATATATTAGAGGCAAATTAGCAGGTACAGCTAAAGCTACTCCCCTATAATCATTGTGTTTATTATTATATAAGCTTTCAAAGAACTTATAATTCATTTGATGGAAAAACGCTTGTAATGTCGACAGGAGAGTATTACTCACTTCTTGTAAACAAATAATCGTATTTTTATAAGAATGAATCTCTTGTTCCAATTGAGACCTAATTAATTTCCATCGATATTCAGTTTTAAGATACTCCGGCCGGGATGCTACATAGTTTCCTGGCTGTTCAGCCAAAATCGGCAGAAGTAAATTGTATGTGACGATACGGACAGACATCGTGTCGTTTTAGAGCAAAAAATGAAAAGAGGGTTGAAACGCACGTTTTTATAATATATAGAAAAGAAGGAAGGAAGCTATGCATAGCGTAGAAAATAAATACCACTCGAACATATACGATTCATCGATCAGCGTAGGAAAAGCGTGAATTAATATGTCATGCATGTTTTCACTCATATGAATGTTTCTTTTTTGGTTGTGCAATATTGAAAAATTGTTTCAAGAGTAATATAAGTCGATATACCGATATGCTTGATCATTGATTTTCAACGGTTTACGCCTGAGAATGATTTATTAACATTAACAGTGAAACTATGCCGTCCAAAACTAAATACATATTATGGTGAGAGATTGAAACAAGCGAAGACTGTTGGACAGCAATTGAAAAGTATAGTCAGCGAGAAGTTCGGCATAGACGGTCTGTTCGTCTCATTAGGTAGAGATTCCCTATCCGCCTTGCGCCTATCACGTCTAATCGAAAATAATCTTGGAGTGTCTGTGCCGACTAGTTTGCTCCTAGAATCTGACATCACCTATGAAAAATTAACAATGATGATCGAACATCCTTCTTACTGAGTTTCGACGTCTCGTTTAACAGTAAAACGATTATATTATGATTCGCAATTACAATTAAATGTAGTAGTTAGACAGAAATCCAAAGAATCAATTGCTTCTCCGCGAAGAATTTTCATTACAGGAACAACCGGATTCGTTAGCGCATTTCTTTTAGTGGAGTTGTTAAATGTGCATCCTTCCGAGTATCAATTTATATATCTCGCTCGGTGTCAATCCTCGAAGACTTCGCTGGATCGCATACGTGAAGATTTAATCCTTTATCAGCTCTGGAAAGAAAATTTTCAATAGCATATCATACCTCTGAAAGGTGATTTGAAAGAATCACAGTTTGGATTGGACCAACAAACGTACGAATCTGTAGCTGAACAAGTCGATCTTATCTACCATTGTGATGCGACTGTCAACTTTACCTTTCTCTATAGCAAACTCTATCAATCGAATGTTTGTGGCACAGGGGAAATCATTCGCATAGCTATTTATACTAAAACAACGCATGTACCTATGCGTTATATCTCTACAGTGAGCGTTTTGACATCGGATACGAGTAACAAAATCTCCGTCGACAAAATTGTTCCCGAAAGTTCAAGTACCGGTTACGCACAATGTAAATGGGTAGTAGAAAAGCTTGTCATGAAAACAAATCGTCTGGAATTACCGGTAACCATTTATCGACTAGGGTCGACTGGAGCGAGTACAGAAACAGGCGTTTGCAATCGAACCGATATGCAGACCTTCTTTTTCATGACAATAATGAATTTACATGTCTGTCCTGATTTCGGAAGAAAAAAAACGAGGACCTCTCAAACGAAGAAAAGTCAACAGCCACGAAAACAAGAACAAACTGCTCTCTATATAACGGAAACGATAGCGTCTAGTCAAAGCGAAAGAAAACAACATTTCTGCCAAGGTATAGAAATATTTGCATGAAGAAAAACACATTATCTGAAAAAAATCCTCTTTCATTCATTCAAGAAACATACGAAAAAAGGAGACACCGCTAGATGAATTCACAATCACTCCTCAAGCATATGGTAGAAAAAAATCTTATTCAGCAGGATGCTGACGTGCACAGATACATTTGAACGTCTTCAACGTGAAGAAACAAACGACACTCAGCAGAAAGAATACATCACTATCGAAATGATTCCAAAAATCACATGTGTAGGTGATCCGTTCTTTTCTCCTACTTCGGACATTCGCAGTTTTCTTGATATTTCATTTATTGACAACTATCCAATAGAGAAAACTTACAACTCGATTTGGGCAAGTATCGTTAAAATCCGGTCAATTTTTAGTTCTATGTCGAAAATATCTGTTGGTGAAACAGACGAACATTCTTCATCCTCATAGACATTTAATGCTCGCTGATAATATTCTAATGCCATTCTAAATTGAAATAGCTCTTCATAACACAAACCAATATTTGCTAAACTTTTGCCAATTTCTATNAAATCGTAATAGATAGACGTTTCTGGTGTTTGACTTCTTATTCTCATTCTATTCAAAATTATAATACAGCTATTCTCTTTATTCATCTTCTCGGTCCATTTCTTGCCAATCTCTTCTCTGCTATCTTCATCATTATCAGAAGTGCTCGTAGACGGCTAGAAGCTCAAAAACGACAAAAATACGGAGAATATCTTCGTGAGCAATGGAATGAACACAAACAGCTTGTCATCAGTTCCATAATTCTACTTTTTCTCTCAACACCACGCCTAATCATTTCTTTGTTATCGGGATGTACAAATGTTTCTGATCAAGCGTGGCTATATCTATCTGCATATTTTATTTCATTCATACCTTCAATACTCGTCTTTGTCGTATTTGTTGTTCCTTCAAGCTCCTATCAGAAAATTTTCAAAGAATCATTTCTTGGAATCTGTAAAATATGAACGAGCATTAATTCATGTCATCTTCGTCAGATACCTCATTTTGATTCACAACGTATCTGTCTAAAAAAGTTCGTCTTTAACTCTTGCATACCAGCCGGGGTAAAAAAACGAGCCCAGTGAAAGTGAATGTATTTTTTAAAGTAATAAAATTTGAAATGTAGCTATAAGTTTTCCTAGAAGTCAAAAAGTCATTGTTTTGAGGCGTTTTCTATGAAACCACATCTAAAAATATCATAATTTAGATTAGACGAACAATTGTAATCGTGTCGTAAAAAAGGATGGCACCCTATGAGTTAATCATCCACATAATATTGTGTTTTATTCATAAGATTTACAAAGGAATACTTTTCCGCACGAGGGTACCAAATAAACTAATTTCTTACAGTTCAACACCACTGAGTATTTTGAGAATTTTCTCTCGCGACTTTCCTTGTCATAATCAGAAAAAGTTCCAAAACCGTAATGTTTGCTTTTCACTGACGGTAAAAAACAATCAATAAAATAATAGTATAAACAAAGTTTTCATTGGTGAGATTTACTTCAATGTTCAGGAAACATATTCGACAACAATGGTGGGTATCTCATCAAATGATCATCAGATTTGAAAATATTAGCATGATTTTCTCAGAGACAGAATGACCAAACTAATCTTCAAGATCAAGGATTCTTCGGACTCCAAACGTTAAGTACCAACATCATTGTTACTCTAATCGATTATGTACTCTTGGTATATTATTTCAAGATTTTTCATGTCACAAAAGCTGAGATATTCAATGCATGGCAGGATCAAATATTGTTATCGTGATGAATCAGAGAAGCGTATATAGTTTAAAATTCAAGTTGATACTGAAAATTTTCTAGACTTTAGTACAAACGTTTTCTACATTGATAGTTCTATCACATTATAAATATTTAGTTCTCTTTTTGTGAATAATAACACAATAGATACTGAAAAAATCTTTATTCATATTATTGTAGAAAAATTAAACAGATGATTCAAATGAAGACGATAAAGCCAAATTGAGTTTTATATAATCCATCCTAACGATCAACTACACAGATGTTTATAGCAAAACATTGATGATTAGTATATTAACCATAGCAATAAAGAGCAGAATTTTTGACAGATTGTTTCCTATAAAAGAAATAGTATCGTTAAGCTACATCTCGAAGACAAATGTTACCTGAGTTTATACCCGCAGACTGAGTTGTATTACCAAAAACAATTGTGGCTGATGATGCGTTAGAGAATGTTGTAGTTGTCATCGATAATGTTGATGTCGATGTTGCCGACATTATTGGTGTTGACGTCGATGCCGATCCTGTAGACATCATCGAGGTTGATGCCGATCCTGTAGATATCATCGAGGTTGATGTCGATCCTGTAGACATCATCGAGGTTGATGTCGATCCTGTAGACATCATCAAGGTTGATGTTGACGCTGTCATCTGTGTTGTTGTAGATGACGTCATAGCACCCATCATGGTCGTGGATGTTGTTTGTCCATTAGTTGTCGATGTCGTATTTGCTAAGAGAGACAGTTTGTAAGCGGCGCATTGTGGAGAGTGAAATCTTTGGAAAACTTACTTTGGCTGCCGCTGCATTGCCCTCCGTGTTCGTCTTGTATAAGAGCGCATGTATTCTGAGAAAATCAAATTAAATACTGAAGTCCACAATAGTTCTTTTGCGCTGCACTACCTACCAGATCATACCAACAACCGTTGTCGCTCATAGAGTAACTGCATGCTAAAGCACCACTTTGGATCTGACCGGCGATAAGTGCAGTGCCCGTGGTATCCGTAGCAGGGCATTGACATTTGGATGCTTTAGAAAAGTAACGAATAAATTAATGAGCTATATTCTAATGGTGAAGAAATACGATGTAAAAATGACTGAATTTAGTTAGAGAAACTGTGCTCAATCGTTGACACATCATTCATGTATAGGACTACAATTTTGAAATACATTGTATTTGCTTCCAGAAAATAATCTTTTTATATTTAGATATTGGAAAGATCCTTACAAGTTGTGGTAGTTGTTGTCGTATTTCCTCCACTGCCTGGTTGTGTCGGTGCAACTATTGTTGTCGCTACAAACATCAGAATCGTTTTACAAAGATCTTTATTGCACAAGTTCTATTGTGTATGTAACATCTTGCAGATAATCATACATACGTGTCGAAGAAACGCAAAATCCTCCATCACCATCAATGGCGATTGTGCAATCAGTCTAAAAAAATGTGTAATTATTGAATATGATATTTACAATCTTCGCTTACTCGGTATAAACAATACAACGTGCCACGAGCATTTCCACTTTGAGCTACATACCAACATTTCAATTGTCCATTAGCCTGCAGGTCACCTGCATCGGCAGATACATAATTTCTATTATCTTTTGCAGGGCATTCACAGCCAAAGACTTAAAAAAAAACAAATGTATAAACTGTACGCGAATATTCAAAAACTAACCTTGATTCCTGTTTGGATTAGTATAGAAAATCAACGCAAAAAAGATGAGCACGATAAAATGCATCGTTCGAAAAACGAAATGTGAATGAGTGTATGTGTTTATTTGACGACAAAATATATTGGGCGGTTCTTTCACACAAAGAAAAACATATTCCTTGTCCACACGATTATATTTGTTCCAAATGACGTCACCGTGGTATTGTTCGTCCTTTACACACGCACTGCTTTAATGGTTGAATGATTATACTAAGAAAAAAAAATAACCGAAAGGATACCGATATTTGCGTAGATCTGCATATTTAAAATGAGATTCTCTTCTCTTGACTCATCAATTATATTCAAAAGTATGAAAATAATCAATGACAATAGGTATTATATTTATAAATTGTATACATCATCGTTTGCACGGCTTGTCATTGTATTTGCACTAAGTCACTTCTCTAAATATGATAATATTATTCATTGAAAACTAATATGAATAAAAATATCAATTGTATGACCACAGTTTCTCTTTTAAATAAATATTGTTTTACGGAATAAATTTCTCCCACCCTGACCTCGATATTGTCTTGTTTATTATACGAAATCAAAAGATTTCATTTACATATTGGTGATGTAAATATGTGAAGTGTACTAGAGTATATTCTTATACGAGCTGCAATGTTGCGGCCAACATCAGATGATCTGATGGATGTGTCCTATCAGGATATGATTTTCCAGTTGGATGACTTGGTAATGGTAGTACATCATGGACAGTTAGGTTTCCAGTAAAAAAGATATAATCAAGTGTGCCACAAAAACTACTCGATTCGTGTCTTGTCGTGGCAAAGTTTGTATAGTTGGGCTCAGCTTTATTTTTCTCTCGGTATGCACTTCGTAACACCTGTTGTTTATTGAATCGATAAGTAACTCCCCGGTTACCGACTTTTGGTAACACACGATCTTCGACGTTGCCTCTACGGGTAATTGCTCGGTACGCACTGTCAATTGGTTGCATATTGAAATCACCGGCGAGAACAAAAGGATGACCATTGGCTATTTGAAACATAAGATCTTTTGCTGCAGACGCATGAATTATCATTATACTTGGGTCTCTGAATAGACAAGGCATGTGATATGTGCCAACAAACAAAGGCCTTCCATGAACCATCACCCCAACACAAATCAAAACATTTTTTAACGACATGGCTTTTTCCCATGGATTAACAGATTGATCTTTGAAAGTTTTCATAATTGAATATTTCACAGTTTTCCACCATAATGAAGAATTGAAAGTTGCATCGAAAGATTGAATAGTCAAACGCAGGTGTTCTCCAATGGTGACCGCATTTTTATATATTAGAGGCAGATTAGCAGGTACCGCTAACGCTACTCCCCTATAATCATTGCCTTGATTATTATATAAGCTTTCAAACAACTTATAATTCATTTGATGGAAAAACGCTTGTAATGTCGACAGGAGAGTATTACTCACTTCCTGTAAACAAATAATCGTATTTTTGTAAGAATGAATCTCTTGTTCCAATTGAGACCTAATTAATTTCCATCGATATTCAGTCTTAAGATACTCCGGCCGGGATACCACATAGTTTCCTGGTTGTTCAGCCAAAATCGGCAGAAGTAAATTGTATGTGACGATACGGACAGACATCGTGTCGTTCTAGAGCAAAAAATGAAAAGAGGATAGAAACGCACGTTTTTTTAGTATATAGAAAAGAAGCAAGGAAGCTATGCATAGCGTAGAAAACGAGTATCACTCGAACATACACGACTCATCGGTCAGAGTAGGAAAAATGTGAATTAATATGTCATGCATGTTATTACTTATATAAATGTTTCTTTTTTGGTTGCGCAATCTTGAAAAACTTATTCTGTTTTCTGAAAATTAAGATTGTTTCAAGAGTAATAATTATGAGTCGACATACCGATACGCTTGATCATTGATTTTCAACGATTTACGCCTGAGAATGGTTTATTAACAACAACAATGAAATCATGCCGTCCAAAACTAAATACATATTTTATGGCGAGAGATTGAAACAAGCGAAGACTATTGAACAGCAATTGAAAAGTATAGTCAGTGATAAGTTCGACACAGACGGTATCCTCGTTTCAACAGGTAAATTAGAGATTCCCTATCCGCCTTGCGCTTACCGAGTCTAATCGAAAACAATCTGGGAGTGTTTGTGCCGACTATAGTTTGCTCATAGAAGAATCTGACATCATCTCTGAACAATTGGCAATGATGGTCAAAGATCCTTCTTACTTAGCTTCGATGTCTCGTTCAACAGTTGAACGATTAGATTATGAATCGGAATTACAATTAAATGTGGTAGTTGGACAGAAATGCAAAGAATTTTCATTACAGGAACAACCGGATCCGTTGACGCATTTCTTTTAGCGGAGTAGTTAAATGTGTATCCTTCTGAGTGTCAGTCCTCGAAGACTTCGCTGGATAGGATACGTGAAAATTTAATTCTTTATCAGCTATGGAAAAAAAATTTTCAAAAGCGTATCATACCTCTGAAAGCTGACTTGGAAGAATCACAGTTTGGATTGGACCAACAAACGTACGAATCTGTAGCTGAACAAGTCGATTTTATCTACCATTATGGTGCGACTGTCAACAGGTTTCCCTGTAGCAAACTCTATCAATCGAATGTTTGTGGCACAGGGGACATCATTCGCTTAGCTACTTATACCAAAAGACCGCAGATACCTATGCATTATATCTCTACAGTGAGCGTTTTGACATCGGATACGAATAACAAAATCTTCGTCGACAAAATTGCTCCCGAAAGTTTAAGTACCGGTTACGCACAAAGTAAATGGGTAGCAGAAAAGCTCGTCATGGAAGCAAATCGTCTGGAATTACCGGTAACCATTTACCGACTAGGGTCGACTGAAACGAGTACAAAAACATGCGTTTGCAATCGAACCGACCCATTGATCTTCTTTTTTGCGACAATAATGAATTTACATGTATATCCTGCTTTCGGAAGAAAAAACGAGGGCATCACAAATAAAGAAAAGTCAACAGCCATGGAAACAAGAGCGAACCGCTCTCTATATAACGGAAATGATAGCGTCTAGTCAAAGCGAAAGAAAACAACATTTTTCCCAAGGTACAGAAATATTTGCATGAAGAAACCAACAACCATAAATGCTTGCTTCAAAAGAAACAAACGACACTGAGCAGAAAGAATGCATCACCATCGAAATGGTTGCAAACATCACATGTAGGTGACCGGTTCTTTTCTCCTACTTCGGACATTCGCAGTTTTCTTGATATTTCATTTATTGACAACTATCCAACAGAGAAAACTTACAACTCGATTTGGGCAAGTATCGTTAAAATCCGGTCAATTTTTAGTTCTATGTCGAAAATATCTGTTGGTGAAACAGACGAACATTCTTCATCCTCATAGACATTTAATGCTCGCTGATAATATTCTAATGCCGGTCTAAATTGAAATAGCTCTTCATAACACAAACCAATATTTGCTAAACTTTTGCCAATTTGTATATGAGTGGGTGAAAGGATCTTCTCTTGTATTGAATAACACAGAATGCCATATTGAAGAGCTAACGTATATTCACGTCGAAGCTGGTGGATTTTTCTTAGATCGGAAAGAGCATCAAGTAGAGATGAATAGTCTGAAGAACAACTCGATTGTACAATCATCAGGTATTCTTGGAAAACTTCGATTGCTCTTCGATAATTCTTAGGTCCACTGTGATAAAAGGTGAGACCAAGATCATATAAGCACCAGAGAATATCCTCATAATTATTGGGTTGATAGGTTTTTAGTAAATCTAATGCTTCAGAATACGCTTCTATCGCTTCACTGAATTGACGTTGAGACTTATAACACAAACCAACGTTCATAATACCCAATGGAAGAGATTCATATGTATCTGAACAATATTTTCGTGCAATTTCTACAGATCGACAGCAATACTTAACAGCATCTTGATAATTATTTTGACCAATCAAAAGATTGCCGTTTTTCATTAAGCAATTCAACGTGCTGGAATGCTTTGTTGGGCGAAATTCTTCATAGATTTGTAATGACTTATCATATAAACTCATTGATTCGTCATATTTTCCTTGTTCAAATCGTATATCGCCCATCTGATTATAACTAAACATAATTTGTTCGTTAGCCGATGGTCGATAGGTCTGTCGAATGATCAACAATCGATGTTGATATTCAAATGCTTCATCGTACCGGTTCTGGTTATTGAAAATATCGATACATATCTCGATAGTAGAGATGATTCCAGAATGGTCTGGTGGAAGGTGTCTTTCTTGGATTGTTAATGCTTTTTGAAGCAATTCCAGCGCTTCGTCGTAATTTTTCTTCTTTTTTAATAAATTCCCTGTATAAATATAAGTATTTGAAACCCGAATATGATCAGATGAGTACGCTTTTTGTTGAATTGTTAAAGCTCGTTGATAGACAGAAAGAGCGTCATCAAGTTTGTCTTGATTGAATAAAGTGTGGCCGATGTTTATAAGAGCCGAAACTAATTCAACACTGTCAGATGAATAACGATCCTCAAGTAATTTTAAAGATCGATTCAACACATCATGAGCATTGTCATATTCTCCTTTTCTCATAAGCATGATTCCTATAGACTGAAGAATACTACTGATGCCAGAAGTCTGTGAAGGGTAAAATTCTTCTAAGATCTTCAACGCATCCTGATAACACTCATATGCTTTATCGTAGTTCGCTGTTCCCTTCATATACGCATGGCCAACAAAAATTAATCCATTGGCAATGTCTATGGTATTCGACGGGACCAGTTGCTTCAACTTGACCAATACTTGCTGTGAAAGTTCTAAACATTCATCGTGATTTTCCTGACTAGTTCTAACAGTTGCAATAAGCGATAGAGTTTGTGCAATAAGAATGTTATCCAATCGATATATTTTGCGCATCATTGTCAAAACTTTTGATAGCAAATTCAAGCACTCTTGATAATTTTCTTTGAAATAAAGAATATAAGCTCATGGATAACATAATCTCAACGATCTGCCAATGTACAGGTGGGAGGGAATCTGCGTAAATGGTTGTGATTCGTTCTTGAATAGACAAAGCTCTATTATGTTCGTTTTGATCAATCAATGAGCCATGAATATGGTATAAATTTCGAGCGATGTCAAAGTGTAAGTGTTGATAATATTTTTCTCGAATAGCTAGTGCTTGTTCCAAGAAATTGAGTGCTTGAGCATTGTTGTTCCACCGTCGGTGAACAAATGAAATATATTCGAAACTGTCGGCCATCAATGGATGTTCTCCCGAGTAAAATTTCTTTCGAATTTCTAATGCTCTTTCGTGGAACTCGTACGAATCGTCAAGTTTTCCTTGCATTCGGAAAATCTCAGCAATATCATGCAACACTATAGCCGAATCTTTGATACGTGGTGGGTCGCTGTTCGTCATTCGATCATAGGCTTGATCGAAATGTATGCGGGCTTCCTCCCATTGGCATCTCCAATAAAGAGTTTGACCAATCGATTGCTCAATCCACGCTAGATCTTCGCACGACGAATAATCATCTTTGAGATGCTGGAAATAGTTTTGCGATCGGTTCCATTGACACATATCAAACAGAAATTTACCAAATATAATTGAAATATTCCAATCATCCCAATGGCGACGTGTATCCTGGATGTATTTCTGTGTAATCAAAAATCCATCATTCACTGTCTTCAATCGAATAAGACATTGTTGATCGACTTGTTGAACATGTTCGATTTTGAATGTCGTATTGAAATCGAACAAAATGTCTTCTTGTTGTCTTGAGTGATTAACATTGCATTCAATTTCCAAAATAACATCAGTATATTCCCGAGGAGAATTCTCCTTCCCAGAGAGAAATCCTTTGTATAATAAGAGTTTACTTTTATATTTACAGAACTTTGTCAATTCTTTTGGACTCAGTTTTATCGACTGATAAATGAGACATGGAAGTTGTTCATGTTGAGCATTTATGTCCTCAATTAAACTTGCAAGGAAATATCGCAGCTGATAAAGTTCATCAATATTTTGCTCTCGTAGTGCATTTTCAAAGACTTTTCGAATCATCGAATCGTTCAAATTTTCAGATGGAAAGTGCTCTGTGAATTGTCGCTTGGCCAGGTCATCCTGTGGTAAGTAACAAATAAGTTCGTGGAATAAATGAACCCAGAGGAAATCATTGGCATTTTTCGATAGATCTCGTTCCATGGTCTGCTTTGGATCGTAAAAGATCCAGTTAGAATTGTGTTCATCAATCAAATCAAGTTCTTCTTTGATTGAAGAACACAGCTGACCGAGTTGATCATAAATTCCAGTGATATTCAATTCCTCGTGATAGATATATTTGTAGTCGTTGGGTTTTGAATAATAAATAAATAAATAATCCACTTGTTTGAAAATGGAAATATTTGATAAAATCTCAGAAATGAATTCGTGAAAAACGATGAGCAATGTTTTCGATTTGCTTTCATTCGATTGAATGAATTCGATGCATGAATCGACGGTTTTATAAGAAATAACTGAATGGTTGAGTTGTCCTCTGAAATTATCGATTTCTTCGTCGTTGGAGCACAGACAAATTACGGTTGCATTTGCGTCATTGAGAGAGAGATGTTCCATCATTTGTTTGTGAAATATATGTTGTGAATATCGAAGGTTCTCAATCAAAAGCAAACATCATTCAAAGGAAGTAAGTAGTCTTAGTGATGACGTGTTATTTTTGTCGCTTGTTTTTTTTCCAAAATATCGTGTTTGATGGGTTACTAAAGCGGAACGAGAAAAATATCTTTCAATGTTTGCTGAAACTACATTTCGACACTGTAGAATATTGCGATATTTTGATTCAAATACTTATTTTTAAAATACTATTTCAAAAAAAGACTTTTTTCACGCAGATTAAGAAACAATCTCTTGTTCAAGTTCAGCAACAAATTCTTCTGTCTCTTGCAAATCTTCATGGCTAGGTCATAATCTATTTCGTCGAATGATTAGACCCTGTTGAGCACATGCGAGTGCAGTCTTCAGATCATTATTGGCCTTGTGAGCTAGACCTAAGTTAACCCATGTGGTGGCTGTATCGGGATGTTCAATTCCTAATGTTTTTTTACGCATATGCAACGCTTCCTCAAGATAATTGATTGCTTCTGATAAATTTCCTAAATGACGATGTGCTTGTCCCATGTTATTGAGTACGCGAGCAATATCATGATGCTCATCAGTTCCATGGCACTTTCGAAAATGTTCTTTAGCCTGTTCGTAGAGCGGAAGAGCTTCATTGAACTGATCTTGTACACTCTTTAAATTAGCCATCGAATTATAAACATCAGCAATATATCGGTGTTCGCTGGTATACGAGTTCGTGTAGATGGCTAATGCTCGCTGGAAATGTTCAAATGCTTCTTGATAGCGATTTTGATTCCGTAAGACAATACCGATGATAAACCAAGTTCGACCCATGTCAACATGAGAAGGTGGTAAGATAGTTTGTCGAATGTCTTTCACTTCATTTAATATATTAAGGGCATCTTGCCATTGGGCTTGATTCACATAAACAAACGCAATTTTCATCTTATTTTCAGCAACCATCGGATGACGATCGTGTATGTGAGCTAAACGCATTGCTTCGTCTACGCGTCGATACAATTGTAGCGCCTCTTCATATTCTCCCATTTGATCTTTGATAGTACCCATGTTTCCAAAGGTTGTTGCCAAACCTTCATAATTATCTGATTGAGAATAGATATCAACTGCTTGTTCAAATGCATCAAATGCTAATGTATGTTCGGCGTTCATCATATACAACACGCCTTTGTTGTTTATTGTGTTCGCAATCTGGCTGATTAATTTGGGATCCTGTTGTTGAACATCAAGAGCTGAATCAAACCAATGAAGCGCTCTTTGATAGTCCCCTCTGTAGAACCATGCATGACCAATGTGATTCATAGCTATACTACGTTTAGTCCTTGATTGAATAGTTGAAACATCTAAATGGCAACAGTAACATTCAGATTACTGATTCAGTTAGATCAATGGTTTCCTTTTGTTTACCTGTTTGTTCGCCACTTGACGAGTTTAACATTGACTGAAAGTAATCAATAGCTTTATCAGCATTTCCCATGTCTATAAGTAATTTACCGAAAAGTATATCGGCTGACGATAATCCCAATTCGCGATTACTATCAGCTATATATTTATTGGCTAAATCAGCACCACGATCTGTTGCTCGAAGCTGAATAATCCATCGATCAATCTTTGTTGAATCTTGAATAATTCCAATGAATTCGAACGCTGAATCGAGATCGAATAAAATCTCTTCTTCCTGACTGAACTGACTGTATCTTCCTATATCAGCGCAGACAATATGGTTCAAACCGATTGGCACCTCAATTTTATACAGAACTTCGACCTAAAATATTTTCGAATAAGATATCCTTTTAACTGATTTTCGTTGGTCATACTTTCTTTGGATCATTAGCATCATTCAAACCGAATCGTTCTGCTACATCCAATTTCGATGAAGTTGATAAGAATCCACGCATTGATATAAGATCGTTGACATTAACAGTCATTGTCAATTCTTCAAATTTTTCTCTGGCCATGAGAACAGCTCGATAAACAAGCAACGGTCTTGTTAGACGTGGTTGTTCTTCTAACAATTGACATAAATCAGCTATACAATAACGTAAATCAAACAAAGCCTCGATGTCGAACGCACGCAACGTTTTATTAAGCACATCGGATATGAAAGCCGGTTGCGTATACCACCATAAACAGTGATCAGCTTCATAATTGAGAGAAAATTCCGTTAATCGTTGTAACTGTTTGGAATTATCTTTAAAATACTCGCGAAAACGTTTCATCATATCTTCTTTTGCGCTATCCGATTTATCGAATCGACGAACGACATTTCGTAAACAATGAAACCAGATGAAAGCAGCTCCTTCTTTGGAAAGATTTCGTAATGATTCTTGTCTATGTTCCATGCTATAACGCTGTTCAACTGCAGTCAAACATTGCTTAATACGTTCAATTAACATCGACGATGAATCAGAAATCATGTCGATTTTTGGACGATCTATCAAATGTAAATAAGGTGTTTGATCGAAACAGAAAATAAAAATCGTATAAACATCGGAAGTAACATGTGGTAATAATTCTTCTGCTAATGATCCCGATAAAATAAGAAAAATGGATTTGCATTCATTACGATGAATTTGTTGAACAACAGTCTGACATAATGATACATCGGTGATAAACAATGCATTACGATCGATTTCTTTTAAACATTCTCGAATATCATTTTCTCTTTGTAAATTTGGATCACACCAAATCAAACGAACATTATCCGAACAAGGTAAACTTTTCAGCCATAAGAGATCAGCGTCTTCTATACGTCGAACTGTATGTGATGATGCACGACTAGGAAATAATTTAATGAAGAGAAAATGAAGCAGATATCCCAAGAGTACAATCATTACTATAACCAACTTAGTTGAATTCTCTTTCACGTACGTTCTTTGTTGTGTATGTTTTAAAATCATGTCAATGACTTTTCTCTCGCATGTTTATATAGAAAAGAAAATCCAAGAACGAGAAAAATTCTGAAAAATATTTACTTTCTCCACAGAAACGACGAAACTCATAGCATTACTCATTTATAGTCAAGTTGGAATATTCTAGTTAACCATCGATGTGCGTGAGTACACTATAGATGCAAAAAATGAAACCATCAAATTTATATAAATAATCATTGGTTCATAGTTGAATAAGTTTTGAAAAAAAAACTCAATTTAAAAAACTTTCAAGTAAGGTGGTGATGGTAAATTAGCATCCGTAAAACTATATATAGGTGCTTGTTTAAATGGACATGGCGTTTCACGCCATAAATAACGAAAGCCGTATATTGATCTTCGAGCACAGATATTTCGAATAGTTAAAGTAATTGTTAAACCAGTTTTGCCGGAAATTGTTAATGGTTCCCAATCATTATCTTTCGTTGCACATCTTTCACCTCTACAGCAGACCTAAAATTGTGTAAAATATTCTTGAAGAATGAATGGTAATTTATATGATAAAATCTACTTCAAATCCATCTGTACTTCGAAGCGAAATTTCTGATACAGCTGTATATGTAACATAAATTCGTTCTCGATCATTCGATAATGTTACATTTGATACAATTGGACCTAGATATTCAACAGATTGACCATACGCAACAGCAAGACCAGCTCGAGACAGTCGATAGGCAACATCGTGTTTAGTTCGAGGATGAATTCTATAGAAATATTTCATAATTAAATGACAAATAAAATAAAAACAAACAGATTTGGGTCATCACGTAGATCTAAAGCGACAGCCATAAAAACATTTGGCACAACATGATTTGGGACATATCCAACATCAAATGTTTGATGCCAACGAATCCACGGAAATCCACCAACCATCCGCCCATCAGTTCTAAACGTGGACAACTACATGTAAAGAAACAAATAAAAGTAGAACACTAGCGGCAAGGTTATTTAGTCTGAAGCTTTACTTGAACAAAACCAAATGGAAATTGAATATCAGTATTGTTATTTGTACGCGTAAACCAGATTTGACGCCACGTTTGAATCATTTTGGAAAACGTACATGTATACTTATCACGATTATAATCAGCATTCGATTCACCTATCGTGATGTGTCAACTAAGGTGTTTCATTTTATATTCGAACGTGTTTTACCTTGGTACCAAATACTACCGTAAATAACCATACGGGTGAATGGGTAGATCATCGCATTGTATAAATTCGAGTTATTCAATGTGTCTCGTATTCCTAAAGGTTCGTTATAGGGTTGCAACGGAACACGTTCATCGCTATTAAAGATGAGTAGAAAACAAATGGAGAAAGAAGACAAATCAATTTACGATGAAATGCCACATTCATGTAACGGTTCTGGTGGCATCCATAATTCGATAGCCGTACCACCCCAACTAGTGACAATCAGTCCGATCGGTATGCCGCCCAATGCCTCGTGAATCATTCGACCGTAAAGCCAACATACAGCTGATATGTACGTCCATGATGGTCCTCCGACACTGTCAGCAGAAGGTATAGACCAATTTTGTTCAATGCCTAATAGTTCTTCGATTGGTGCAGCTGATGGTTTTAGGGCAGCTGTAAATAAACGTATTTTAGGATATTTATCTGCGTTTGCTATTTCGATTGAACCATTAAAAATATCTCGCACGGTCATTTGCATATTGGATTGACCTGAACAGATCCAAACATCACCAAAATAGACATCATTCAAAGTAAGCGTCACAAGCGTTCCATTTGGTAGTGTTTGATGTACATGTATCTGATTGGGACCACCATCTGGTTGAGGATCGAGTGTAACCGACCAAATACTTTCGCCAAATTCATTCACTGGATGTAATCCACTCTTCGTTTGATATAGCTGACTGCCTATTTCAAGAGTGACGTGTCTATTCGTATCGCTAAAGCCCCATACTATGGCTCGTTTCGGAGCTCGTTGAAGAACCATGTGATCTTGAATATAATTGGCAAAACGAAATTCTCCATCACCTATAGAATTTCATCATTGAACATCAATGCTTGATCGAAGGAACTTTTAAATAAAAACTTACATGAAAATACGAGAATAATCATCAAAACAACATGTTTTACATTCATCTTCATGTTTATCTCAGTAGTGTTCTCTGTTCTCTGAGTATTTATAGATAGATAATAACAATCCGGCGACCATGTGCGGTTGATGATAAGAAGAAAAACTCATCTCGCTCGCACATGATTTGTTTCACCCAATAATTTATTCACGATTGTCAGGTATGTACTGACTTATTTCTCACTTACTGATGTAACTATACAGATTAATATTGAACATTCAAAGGAGTGGGTTTCATAGGACTTTATTCATATTTATTTCTTGAAAAAGCATCTAATCATGTCTAAAAAATGGTTAAATGAGTTTAGTTGAGTTCAGAATAATACTGCCAACATGCGACCTGATCGATGCATATGAATTATTTCGATTTTCGATCAGTTGTTTGATGAATCCTAGTGGATTTGAATGAAATCGAGACTGATGAAGTTGTAATGACAAACGATGCTCTGGATTTGCAACAAAACCATCAGCAGCAATCCATTCTTTCTCAAACGCGTCCTTCTCGGCTTCTGTTCGAGGATTAGGACATAGACTTAAACATTGACAAAAGGCTGTTTGTTCCTCAACAGTTTCAAAGTAAAGAGTACCGTTGAAAATGAACAATTGAACCAGCCAATCGTTGGGCAGAAGGAAATTCGCGTTATTGTCATTGGCAAATCGAATTAACGGAGGAACAGTCAAAGTAGGAGTGTTAACAAAAATCGACTGAATGCGTTTTGTCCGAGGTAATAATAAACGGAGTGTGGTTATGGGTGATTCGTTGGATGGTAACCGACCCATCAACCAATTGGCTTCGAATGGACTTAGAAAAATAAGTTGCTGATTTCGATAGACGACAATCCACCGTGGAGGCCGTAGAAACGGAGTCAATGATTCTCCTTTTGTTGCAATGACACGTTGAAATTCAGTCGAAACCCACAGGTTTGGCAGCCAGCTGTTTGCTTGACAAATTTTGAAGAGTGTTGTATTAGTGAAAGCATAATTCAAATGTTGAAACACGTCACGCGAACTTACGATATCTACGTTTTCATTAACTTCGCATAACTTCTTTATTTCATCGTGTAAAATCGGTTGACATGGTTGAACGGCAGGAGGACGTTGCAACTGTCGTTCTTCTTCTAATTCCTGTTCTAATTCTCGTTGTTGCTCTTCATCCAACAACTGTGCCAAACGTCGTTTTTTTCCACCGTATTTCTTTAGTTGTCTTAATACGGCTTGCTGAATTTGTCTTGACGAAGCATCACCCACATCCNCAATAGAGAAAACTTACAACTCGATTTGGGCAAGTATCGTTAAAATCCGGTCAATTTTTAGTTCTATGTCGAAAATATCTGTTGGTGAAACAGACGAACATTCTTCATCCTCATAGACATTTAATGCTCGCTGATAATATTCTAATGCCATTCTAAATTGAAATAGCTCTTCATAACACAAACCAATATTTGCTAAACTTTTGCCAATTTCTATATGAGTGGGTGAACGGATCTTCTCTTGTATTGAATAACACAGAATGCCATATTGAAGAGCTAACGTATATTCACGTCGAAGCTGGTGGATTTTTCTTAGATCGGAAAGAACATCAAGTAGAGATGAATAGTCTGAAGAACAACTCGATTGTGTAATTATCAGGTATTCTTGTAAAACTTCGATTGCTCTTCGATAATTCTTAGGTCCACTGCGATACAAGGTGAGACCAAGATCATATAAGCACCGGAGAATATCCTCATAATTATTGGGTTGATAGTTTTTTAGTAAATCTAATGCTTCAGAATACGCTTCTATTGCTTCACTGAATTGACGTTGAGACCTATAACACAAACCAACGTTCATAATACCCAATGGAAGAGATTCATATGTATCTGAATAATATTTTCGTGCAATTTCTACAGATCGACAGCAATACTTAACAGCATCTTGATAATTATTTTGATCGATCAAAAGATTGCCGTTTTTCATTAAGCAATTCAACGTGCTGGAATACTTTGTTGGGCGAAATTCTTCATAGATTTGTAACGACTTATCATATAAACTCATTGATTCATCATATTTTCCTTGTTTAAATCGTATATCGCCCATCTGATTATAAGTAAACATAATTTCTTCATTAGCCGATGGCCGATAGGTCTGTCGAATGATCAACAATCGATGTTGATATTCAAATGCTTCATCGTACCGGTTCTGGTTATTGAAAATATCGATACATATCTTGATAGTATAGATGATTCTAGAATGGTCCGGTGGAAGGTGTCTTTCTTGGATTGTTAATGCTTTTTGAAGCAATTCTAGCGCTTCGTCGTAATTTTTCTTCTTTTTTAATAAATTCCCTATATTAATATAAGTATTTGAAACCAGAATATGATCAGATGAGTACGCTTTTAGTTGAATTGTTAAAACACGTTGGTAGACAGAAAGAGCCTCATCAAGTCGGTCTTGATTGAATAAAACGTGGCCGATTTTTGTAAGAGCCGAAACTAATTCAACACCGTCAGATGAATAACGATCCTCAAGTAATTTTAAAGATCGATTCAACGTATCATGAGCATTGTCATATTCTCCTTTTCTTATAAGCGTGATTCCTATAGACTGAAGAATATTACTGATGTCAGAAGTCTGTGAAGGGTAAAATTCTTCTAAGATCTTCAACGCATCCTGATAACACTCATATGCTTTATCGTAGTTCGCTGTTCCATTGAGATATGCATTACCAACAACACTTAATCCAATGGCAATGTCTATAGTATTCGACGGGACCAGTCGTTTCAACTTGACCAATACTTGCTGTGAAAGTTCTAAACATTCATCGTGCTTTTTCTGACTAGTTCGAACAGTTGCAATAAGCAATAGAGCTTGTGCAATAAGAATGTTATCCAATCGATATATTTTGCGCCTCATTGTCAAAACTTTTGATAGCAAATTCAAGCACTCTTGATAATTTTCTTTGAAATAAAGAATATGGCTCATGGATAACATAATCTCAACGATCTGCCAATGTACAGGTGGGAGGGAATCTGCGTAAATGGATGTGATTCGTTCTTGAATAGACAAAGCTCTATTATGTTCGTTTTGATCAATCAATGAGCCATGAATATGGTATAAATTTCGAGCGATGTCAAAGTGTAAGTGTTGATAATATTTTTCTCGAATAGCTAGTGCTTGTTCCAAGAAATTGAGCGCTTGATCATTTGTTCACCGACGGTGGAACAACAATGATCAAGCGCTCAATTTCTTGGAACAAGCACTAGCTATTCGAGAAAAATATTATCAACACTTACACTTTGACATCGCTCGAAATTTATACCATATTCATGGCTCATTGATTGATCNTATTATGTTCGTTTTGATCAATCAATGAGCCATGAATATGGTATAAATTTCGAGCGATGTCAAAGTGTAAGTGTTGATAATATTTTTCTCGAATAGCTAGTGCTTGTTCCAAGAAATTGAGCGCTTGATCATTGTTGTTCCACCGTCGGTGAACAAATGAAATATATTCGAAACTATCGGCCATCAATGGATGTTCTGCCGGGTAAAATTTCTTTCGAATTTCTAATGCTCTTTCGTGGAACTCGTACGAATCGTCAAGTTTTCCTTGCAGTCGGAAAATCTCAGCAATATCATGCAACACCATAGCCGAATCTTTGATACGTGGTGGGTCGCTGTTCATCATTCGATCATAGGCTTGATCGAAATGTATTCGGGCTTCCTCCCATTGACATCTCCAATAAAGAGTTTGACCAATCGATTGCTCAATCCACGCTAGATCTTCGCACGACGAATAATCATCTTTCAGTTGCTGGAAATAGTTTTGCGATCGGTCCCATTGACACATATCAAAGAGAAATTTACCAAATAGAATTGAAATATTCCAATCATTCCATTGGCGATGTGTATCCTGAATATATTTCTGTGTAATCAACAACCCATCATTCACTGTCTTCAATCGAATAAGACATTGTTGATCGACTTGTTGAACATGTTCGATTCTGAATGTCGTATTGAAATCGAACAAAATGTCTTCTTGTTCTCTTGAGTGATTAACATTGCATTCAATTTTCAAAATAACATCAGCATATTCCTGAGGAGAATTCTCCTTCCCAGAGAGAAATCCTTTGTATAATAAGAGTTTACCTTGATATTCACAGAACTTGGTCAATTCTTTTGGACTCAGTTTTATCGACTGATAAACGAGGCATGGTAGTTGTTCATGTTGAGCATTTATGTCCTCAATTAAACCAGCAAGAAAATATCGCAACTGATAGAGTTCATCGATATTTTGCTCTCGTAATGCATCTTCGAAGACTTTTCGGATCATCGAATCATTTGAATTTTCCGATGAGAAACGCTCTGTGAATTGTCGTTTGGCCAGGTCATCACGTGGTAAGTAACAAATAAGTTCGTGGAATAAATGAACCCAGAGGAAATCATTGGCATTTTTCGATAGATCTCTTTCCATGGCCTGCTTTGGATCGTAAAAGATCCAGTTGGAATTGTGTTCATCAATCGAATCAAGTTCTTCTTTGACTGATGAACATAGCTGACCGAGTTGATCACAAATGCTAGTGATATTCAATTCCTCGTGATAGACATATTTGTAGTCGTTGGGTGTTGAATAATAAATAAATAAATAATCCATTTGTTTGAAAATGGCAATGTTTGATAAAATCTCGGAAATGAATTCGTGAAAAACGATGAGCAATGTTTTCGTTTTGCTTTCATTCGATTGAATGAATTCAATGCATGAATCGGCGTTTTTATAAGAAATAACTGAATGGTTGAGCTGTTGTCTGAAATTATCGATTTCTTCGTCGTTGGAGCAGAGACAAATTACGATTGCATTTGCATCATTGAGAGAGAAGTGTTCCATCATTTGTTTGTGAAATATATGTTGTGAATATCGACGTTTTTCAATCAAAAGCAAACATCATTCAAAGGAAGTAAAGTAGTCTTAGTCATGACGTGTTATTTTTGTCGCTTGTTTTTTTTTGCAAAAAATATTGTGTTTGATAGGTTATTAAAGCGGAACGAGAAAAATATCTTTCAATGTTTGGTGAAACTACATTTTGACATTGTAGAATAGTGAAATATTTTGATTGAAATACTTGATTTTAAAATACTATTTCAAAAAAAGACTTTTTTCACGCAGATTGAGAAACAATCTCTTGTTCAAGTTCAGCAACGAATTCTTCTGTCGCTTGCAAATCTTCATGGCTAGGTCGTAATCTACTTCGTCGGATGATCAGACCCTGTTGAACACATGCGAGTGCAGTCTTCAGATCATTATTGGCTTTGTGAGCCAGACCTAAGTTAGCCCATGTGGTGGCTGTATCAGGATGTTCAATTCCTACTGTTTTTTGACGCATATGCAATGCTTTCTCAAGATAATTGATTGCTTCCGATAAATTTCCTAAATGACGATGTGCTTGTCCCATGTTATTGAGTACGCGAGCAATATCATGATGTTCATCAGTACGATGACACTTTTGAAAATGTTCTTTAGCCTGTTCGTAGAGCGGAAGAGCTTCATTGAACTGATCTTGTACACTTTTCAAATTAGCCATCGAATTATAAACATCAGCAATATATCGGTGTTCGCTGGTATACGATTTCATGTAGATGGCTAATGCTCGCTGGAAATGTTCAAATGCTTCTTGATAGCGCTGTTGATTTCGTAAGACAATACCGATCATAAACCAAGTTCGACCCAAGTCAACATGAGCAGGTGGTAAGATAGTTTGTCGAATGTCTTTCACTTCATTTAATACATTGAGAGCATCTTCCCATTGTGCTTGCTTCACATAGACAATCGCAGTTTTCATCTTATTTTCAGCAATCATCGGATGACGATCGTGTATGTGAGCTAAACGCATTGCTTCGTCTGCACGTCGATACAATTCTAGCGCCTCCTCATATTCTCCTATTTGATCTTTGATAGTACCCACGTTTTCAAAGGCTGCTGCCAAACCTTCATAATTATCCGATTGAGAATAGATATCAACTGCTTGTTCAAATGCATCAAATGCTAATGTATGTTCAGCGTTCATCATATACAACACGCCTTTGTTGTTTATTGTGTTCGCAATCTGACTGATTAATTTGGGATCCTGTTGTTGAGTATCCAGAGCTGAATCAAACCAGTGAAGCGCTCTTTGATAGTCTCCTTTGTAGTACCATGCATGACCAATGTTATTCATAGCGATACTACGTTTAGTCCTTGATTGAATGGTTGAAACATCTACATGACAACAGCAACATCCTGATTACTAATTCAGTTAGATCAATGGTTTCTTTTTGTTTACCTGTTTGTTCGCCACTTGACGAGTTTAACATTGACTGAAAGTAATCAATAGCTTTATCAGCATTTCCCATGTCCATAAGTAATTTACCGAAAAGTGTATCGGCTGACGATAATCCCAATTCTCGATTACTATCAGCTATATATTTATTGGCTAAATCAGCACCACGATCTGTTGCTCGAAGTTGAATAATCCATCGATCAATCCTTGTTGAATCTTGAATAATTCCAATGAATTCGAACGCTGAATCGAGATCGAATAAAATCTCTTCTTCCTGACTGAACTGACTGTATATTCCTATATCAGCGCAGACAATATGGTTCAAACCAAGTGGTACTTCAATTTTATACATAACTTCGACCTAAAATATTTTCGAATAAGCTATGCTTTTAACTAACTTTCCTTGGTCATACTTTCTTTGGATCATTAGTATCATTCAAACCGAATCGTTCTGCTACATCGAATTTCGATGAAGTTGATAAGAATCCACGCATTGATATAAGATCGTTGACATTAATAGTCCTTGTCAATTCTTCAAATTTTTCTCTGTCCATGAGAACAGCTCGATAAACAAGCAACGGTCTTGTTAAACGTGGTTGTTCTTCTAACAATTGACATAGATCAGCTATACAATAACGTAAACCAAACAAACCATCGATGTCGAACGCACGCAACGTTTTATTAAGCACATCGGATATGAAAGCTGGTTGCGTATACCACCATAAACAATGGTCAGCTTCATAATTGAGAGAAAATTCGGTTAATCGTCGTAGCTGTTTGGGATTATCTTTAAAATACTCGCGAAAGCGTTTCATCATATCTTCTTTTGCACTATCTGATTTATCGAATCGACGAACGACATTTCGTAAACAATGAAACCAGATAAAAGCAGCTCCTTCTTTGGAAAGATTTCGTAATGATTCTTGTCTATGTTCCATGCTATAACGTTGTTCAACTGCAGTCAAACATTCCTTAATACGTTCAATTAACATCGACGATGAATCAGAAATCATATCAATTTTTGGACGATCTTTCAAATGTAAATAATTTGTTTGATCGAAACAGAAAATAAAAATCGTATAAACATCGGAAGTAACATGTGGTAATAATTCTTCTGCTAATGATCCCGATAAAATAAGAAAAATGGATTTACATTCATTACGAGGAATTTCTTGAACAACAGTCTGACATAATGATACATCGGTGATAAACAATGCATTACGATCGATTTCTTTTAAACAGTTTTGAATATCATTTTCTCGTTGTAAATTTGGATCACACCAAATCAAACGAACATTATCCGAACAAGGTAAACTTTTCAGCCATAGGAGATCAGTGTCTTCTATATGTCGAACTGTACGTGATGATGCACGACTAGGAAATAATTTAATGAAGAGAAAATGAAGCAGATATCCCAAGAATACAATCATTATTATAACCAACTTATTTGAATTCTCTTTCGCGTACGTTCTTTATTGTGTATGTTTTGAAATCATGTGAATGACTTTTCTCTCGCATGTTTATACGATTTTTATTTTCTGTTTCGATCAAACAAATTATTTACATTTGAAAGATCGTCCAAAAATTGATATGATTTCTGATTCATCGTCGATGTTAATTGAACNTTGGGTCATCACGTAGATCTAAAGCGACAGCCATAAAAACATTTGGCACAACATGATTTGGGACATATCCAACATCAAATGTTTGATGCCAACGAATCCACGGAAATCCACCAACCATCCGACCATCTGTTCTAAACGTGGATAACTACATGTAAAGAAGCAAAAAAAGTAAAACACTAGCAGCGAAAGTTATTTTGTCTGAAGCTTTACTTGAACAAAACCAAATGGAAATTGAATATCAGTATTGTTATTTGTACGCGTAAACCAGATTTGACGCCATGTTTGAATCATTTTGGAAAATGTACATGTATACTTATCACGATTATAATCAGCATTCGATTCACCTATCGTGATGTGTCAACTAAGATGTTTCATTCTATATTCGAATATGTTTTACCTTGGTACCAAATACTACCGTAAATAACCATACGAGTGAATGGGTAGATCATCGCATTGTATAAATTCGAGTTATTCAAAGTGTCTCGTATTCCTAAAAGTTCGTTATAAGGTTGCAACGGAACACGTTCATCGCTATTAAAGATGGGCAGAAAACAAATGAAGAAAGAAGACAAATCAATTTACGATGAAATGCCACATTCATGTAACGGTTCTGGTGGCATCCATAATTCGATAGCCGTACCACCCCAGCTAGTGACGACCAGTCCGATCGGTATGCCGTTCAATGCCTCGTGAATCATTCGACCGTAAAGCCAACACACAGCTGATATGTACGTCCATGATGGTCCTCCGACACTGTCAGCAGAAGGTATAGACCAATTTTGTTCAATGCCTAATAGTTCTTCCATTGGTGTAGCTGATGGTTTTAGGGCAGCTGTAAATAAACGTATTTTAGGGTATTTATCTGCATTTGCTATTTCGATTGAACCATTAAAAATATCTCGCACGGTCATTTGCATATTGGATTGACCTGAACAGATCCAAACATCACCAAAATAGACATCATTCAAAGTAAGTGTCACAAGCGTTCCGTTTGGTAGGGTTTGATGTACATTTATCTGATTGGGACCACCATCTGGTTGAGGATCGAGTGTAACCGACCAAATACTTTCGCCAAATTCATTTACCGGATGTAATCCACTCTTCGTTTGATATAGCTGACTGCCTATTTCAAGAGTGACGTGTCTATTCGTATCGCTAAAGCCCCATACTATTGCTCGTTTCGGAGCTCGTTGAAGAACCATGTGATCTTGAATATAATTGGCAAAACGAAATTCTCCATTACCTATAGAATTTTATCATTGAACATCAATGCTTGATCGAAGGAACTTTTAAACAAAAACTTACATGAAAATACGAGAATAATCAACAAGACAACGTGTTTTACATTCATCTTCATGTTTATCTCAGTAGTGTTCTCTGTTCTCTGAGTATTTATAGATAAATAATAACAATCCAGCAACCATGTGCGGTTGATGATAAGAAGAAAAAGTCATTTCGCTCGTACATGATTTGTTTCACCCAATAATTTATGCACGATTGTCAGGTATGGACTGACTTATTTCTCACTTACTGATGTAACTATACAGATTAATTGAGAACATTCAAAGGAGTCGGTGTTACAGGCATGTTCACAACATACCTTCACATCATTCTCCATCTGTTTTATCTTATCATTCTTCTACATTCTTCTTTGTTCTGTTTTTCGAATAAACAGATTAAGTTTCGTCTCGAGCGAAAGGCAACGCTAATACTATACCTTCAATTTTAATGGACCATCATCAGCACAGTCTACATATTCTTCAAACCTACTTCGATTTCTATAGGACACAATTTGCGATGGATCAATCAAGCACTATATCTATTAGAATTTGATTCAATATAAGCGCTCGAAGTTTGTTCAAACCAAAAGAAATACTGTATAACAGCAAATTATGGATCGTTATCAAGATACTCAATCGAACGTCGTTTTACTAGCTGGATTCGAAGCAGCAACGAGAAAACGAAAAATGCATACAACAGCATACCGCCGACGACGAAGTGCTCAAGCGGCAAAACGTTTGAAATATGAACAAGTCCAGATTAGGAAAATTCTATTCATTGAAATTAACCAACTGGAAGAACAAAATACATATTTGCAAAAGGAGATCACTGAATTAAAATCGAGACAACAATCTTTAAGATCAAATTTACTTGAAATTACCTCATCAAAAGAAAATATGGCAGGAAACAAAACAGAAGTACCCTAATACGACTCAAATGTCTACAGTTATTCATATTAACGTGTTTTCTATTACTCAGAGATATGTAGATATGTATGTTCGCGTTATTTCTTCTGTTTGTGAACTTTATTTAGTTATAAATTCAATAAAAGAAAAGTTGGCGAAAAATGCTACTAATGATAGTTTCTAAATTGCATTCGATTACCTGCGTGAACACGTCGAATAATAAAAATCAAATTGACCAAATAAATCTTCACCGTATTGACTTGTTTGGAGATATCTTTATATAACATTGTAATTAAGACATAATGATACAAAAGTGAAATGAAATTGTATAATTATGGTTTGATATTGAATACTCGTTTAGTTATTCTTCTATAACTATTTATCAGCTTTTTCTGTGTTTCATTCAGTTCATGTGCTCGTTTTCCACGATAAAATATACATGAATATTTTCCAATACTCCATTGTCCTTCTTCTAACCATCCACTCTTTTCTAGTAATTCATCGTTAACACCTTCATTTCGAAACATTCCATCAGATTGGTTCATAATATTCATCAAAATGTAACACATTTCCAAACACTCGTTCTTTATTTTCATCATCAATTTTCCCAATTACACCTGTCAGTGATGACATAAATCTCGACGATATTTCAACTATTAAAAAACCTAACCACCATGTATCTCGATCATCATACAAATATTTGTATGCATCTCGTTGTTCTTGTCCTTGATGATCATTTAGTTTACATGTGCTCAAAATACCTTTCAGAACACGATATTTGTCAATTATAATAACACTCGATTCTTGTCTTCGTTCAGGAATCATTGATTGATTCTTCTTTGTTGAAAATGATTCAATCCATCTCTTCGTTTCATTTGACACTTCACATCGATCATAGAAAAATAAACATTTCGAAATAGAATCGATGGTTTTTCCACGAATAACATATTACTATCCATCAACACGACTTGTCCGAATCGACATCCTAACACTGCAAATGATTGCATTTGACGACCATGAAGATCTAAATGACTATCATTTGCATAACTTAACGAAAGATCAGTCAAATAAACATTTGGAAAAGATTTTCTCATCAGTTCTTGATTATCGACTGATAAATCTTTCGAAGTGAAATACATGATTTCGATCCGAAGATCGTTTCCAATCATTTCAAGACATTTCAATGCAACCAATGTCCAACGAATANCTAACACTGCAAATGATTGCATTTGACGACCATGAAGATCTAAATGACTATCATTTGCATAACTTAACGAAAGATCAGTCAAATAAACATTTGGAAAAGATTTTCTCATCAGTTCTTGATTATCGACTGATAAATCTTTCGAAGTGAAATACATAACTTCGATTGGAAGATCATTTTCAATCATTTCAAGACATTTCAATGCAACCAATGTCCAACGAATATGTCGATTTCCACTACAGATTACAATTCCTTTCGATTGTTTTTGTCCAACATAAGAACTTCTATTCCAACTCTGTTCAATTCCAATTAACCATGGAAATAACTTTGATTTCAGATTAACTTTTGAATATAATAAATAATCTTTCATTTCAACAATAACTTTATCATAATAATCAGAAATCATTTGAACAACAGCTGGAGAAGGTGTGGATATGTCAAATAATCGTTGTTTCTGTGTTTCTATCGAAGTATTCCACTGAATATCAGAGTTTCCATTGTTTTTCAATAACAATGATGATAATACAAACGAATCATTGATTTTCAGACTACGTTCAATGATATTCTTTTGATGATTCAAGTTCAAATAAATCAAACTCAAAAGAACACAAATAATAAATAAGAAAATCACAAGGAAATTTGTCATTTTATATACAAATGTAACATGATGAAACCATGTGCGTTACACTTTGATATTTAAATGTAATAATAAGAAAATGAGTCGAGAATATAACATATCGAATGATTATCAAAGCGTAACTCAATCATCAAAAGAAAGTAAACAAAAATATGAAAGGAAAGGAAAGGAAAGGAAAGGATATACTTATGGAATGAATATCACATCATTTTCTAATCTAAATGACTTTTTATGAACTATGTGATTACAAAATCAATAAACATCTCATTTCAATAAATATTCATTCATTATTTTTATTCTTTTATGATTTATCACATAACAATAAAGAACTATTTTCAAATAATGTTATTTCAAATAAAATCAATTGTAAACGAAATTGTTTCGATTTTAATTCAACAATTTCATTTTGTAGATTCACATTTTCTTTTTCTAATCGATCAATTTCAGCTAATACATTTTTCTCCAATTGAATTTGTTTCGATTTTGATCGTTTTGCTGACTGAATATTTCGTTGTCGTCGTTCTTCTGCTGTAAATCGTGTTCGTTCTGATGATGATGATGATGTTGATGTTGACATTGTCGAACAGTATTGTTCGTTTGTTGAGCATAAAATGATGGAAATCGACTAGTTTTTCACAACGATTGTTGTGTCAATGGTATCCGACGAAAACTAACGCTGTATAGAATAGACGATGATTAGCTTTGCTCTTTAATCACGTATTTATATTTAAAAACATAAATAAGGGCAACATCAACTGCTCGGTCGAATTATTTATTTT